AAAAAAAAAAAAAAAGAAAAAAGCAATTAGGCCTAGTGTAAGATTACGAAATACAGATAAGGCAAAGAACAAATAATTTTACGCAAAGACAATAGTTAACACTGGGGTAATATTTATCCTTCCAGATTTTTATGCACGCATAATTTTTCTTTTAAAAGAACACAATCTGTGTATTTCACATTTACACATGTGGCAGGAAAGCCAATGTTACTTGAAATTTTAATATAAAATTTACCACCTTAACCCTTTTTAAGTGTACAGTTCAGTGGTATTAAGTCAGAATATTAGCCTACCAACACCACTGATTGTCAGAGCTCTTTTCATCCTGTACACTGAAACTCTATACTCATTAAACAATGACTTTCCATTTCCTCCTCCCCCTCTGCATCTGGCAACCACCATTCTACTTCGTCTCTATGATTTTGACTCTTTAAGTGGAATCATAAAGTATTTGTCTTTTTGCGACTGGCTTATTTTACTTAGCATGATGTCCCATATTATAGCACGTTGGAATTTCCTTCCTTTTTAATGCTGATTAATATTCTGCAGTATGTATACACTGCATTTTGTTTATCCAGTTGTCTCTTGATGGCCACCTGAGTTATTTCCACCTTCTGCTACGGTAAGTAATAGGGCTACAACATGGCTGTACAAGAATCTCATCCAGACCATTTTGTCGTATCACATGATAATTGTTTCAGCAGTTCTACCCTTTACATTCTACCAACAGTGCAGAGACTGCAATTTCTCCACAGCCTCACCAACACTCACTTTGACAGCAGCCATCTTAACGGGTGTGAGGTAGTTTTTCATTGTAGTTTTGATTTGCATTTCCCAAATTATTAGTGATATTGAACATATTTTCATATGCTTATTGGCCATTTGGGTATATTTTCTTTGGAGAAATGTCTGTTCAAGCCTTATGCCCACTTGATATGCTTTTAAGTACAAAATATACTAAAGATTTTGAAGGTTTAGTATTAAAATGTCAAATATCTCATAAATGCCCTTTCAAAAATACTGACATATTAAAATGACAATATTTTGAACATTGAGTTAAAATAGTAAAATTAATTTCACTTTTTATTTTTAAAAATGTGGCTACTAAAAATATAGATGAACTTCAAAGGCATGCTAAATGAAAGAATCTAGTCACAAAAGGACAAATACTGTAGGATTCCACTCATATGAGACACTAAGAATAGTGAAATTCAGAGACAGAAAGTACCCAAGGGCTGGGGTAAGGAGAGAATGGGGGTTATTGTTTAATAGGTATAGTTTCAGTTTTGCAAGATGAAAAAATTCTGGAGATGCATGGTGATAATAGTTGCACAACAATGTGAGTATACTTAATGTCACAGAACTGTACATGTTAAAAGTGGTTAAAATATTATGTATATATTACGATTAAAAACAAATAAAAAAATGTGGCTACTAGAAAATTTAAGGGAACGGTAGTGAATATGGAACTAGATAAGGTTTGCTTGCCATTTTTATCAGCGGGGTAGTCTGGGTTCAATACTAGAGGCATTTGTTATTTGATAGTCTCTTTGCCAAAACTATGAATATTAAGCATGTTTTGATTTTTTTGAAAAGGATAGATTCATTAGAGCAAGTCTTGGATGCAATATAAAAACTCTGAAGGTCTTTACAAATTTCCAGACCACCGGATAATATTGTATGAGTGATTCAATAGTGATATAATAATGGCCCTCCAACTGTTAAGTATTTAAAAAATCTTAGCAGAGAGTTCACTTTCCTGGCAGATCTGCTTCACTCCCAGAGGCCAGGAACAAGTGGAATACAGTAAGTCCTCACAAAGTCATTGTTGATAGGTTCTTGGAACTGCGGTGAAACGGTGTTATTAGAAAATCAATTTTGCCATAGGCTAACTGATTGATATAAACGAGTTCAGTTTTCACAGCAGCTCATCAGAAAAAATGACGCTGAATGAAGTGACATTATTTGAGGACCTGCTGTACATTACTTTGCCGATGTCAAATGCTCTCATTAACTCTGCCTTTACGTAACAGATTTAATCCAGCAGGGGTTACTTTAATGAGAAACTCAACTATTTTTTTAGTTTTACAGAACAAATGATTCTAGATTATGTAGCAATATAGGAAAAGATTACACCCATTCCAGGCCTACTCAATCTGAAAGGTATGCAAAATAACCAAAGCCTTAGGTGTAAGGCAGTAAGGTACTGAAGTGATAGCAAAAGGCAAGAGAAAAAGGTCAAGGGTAATGCTTACAGCCTACATCAAAATTTGTCTTTTCCAATAGACTATATTGTTTTCATGGACAAAAATTTAGCTGACCTATCAGCCACATGTACAAATTTTTACCTAACTTTAAACTTTTATAACAAAAAGGTGACATAGCACAGTTAAACTTTCCTTTGCTAGAAAAGAAAGATGGTATGTATGATGGTATTTAAGAATACAGCTCTAAGCTGGACAGATCTGTGTTTAAATACTTGCTCTGCCACGAACTATTTTTGTGACCCTAAAAATAATACTTAACCTCTGGAAGTCTGTTTCCTTATGGTATAACCAAAAGGACACTATTGTTCAAATGTTAGAAGTATTAAATGAAATGATGCCAGTTAACGCTTAAAAGCAGTTATCATTATTACCTTAAATCAGATCAGATACTGGAATAATCACTTTGAAAATTATGAGTTCACACCAGGGTATAATCTTTAAAAAGCATGAACTATTATTGTTCCTGAGAACCAGATATGTCTGCTACACATCTGTTCCTGTACACACTGTAATGTGCATTCAAATGTACACACATATAGTATTTTTATACATTTGTGTGAACCATTCATATTAGAATAAGCATATTCTTAACTTTTAAGCCCCATGGCACTTAAAATCCTTATGCAATAGAACACCTGCAAATACTCAAAATAAACCTAGGTGACTTACATTACATTGAAACATAAAAGTGTGATCTAGATTTTGTATATTTAAAAAAATGTGGGGCACTCCTTTTAATACTTTCAGACTAAAAGACTAGTGCCTACAAGTGGAAAATGCTATTATGTTGCTGCTTATCCTGTTACTTTGAGATTTCAGACAATCGTAACTATAATCACCAGAACTTCCACACCACCAATGGAACCAATGGTTTTCAGGATGTACTTCTGAGTGTGCTGAGACTTTAAGATATGTATACGGACAGACGGAGGGGGAGACAATGTCTGAGGGACAAGATGTAAGCTGAGCAACTGTAACCAGAGGTGTGGCTCCCTATCCTTTGATCGATTTTATATACTAGAATTCACATAAAATTTTATTTGAACGAGAGAAAGATGTTTCACTGCTTCAAAAAGAAACAAAAAAATTGAAAATATCTCTAACATCTCAGTCTAGCTTTATGGATTGTGACATGGGAAGCATTTCCCAGTTTACTTCTTTTAACATAGGCATTCCAGCAAGTACGAGACACATCATGCGGCGTGATTCCAACACTGTGCTACCTACATAAGAACTCCACAGGCTTAGAGCTGCTTGCTGTCAATACAGGTAGAACACCTGGCTTTAGAGAAATGTGAAAAAGGGAAATCAATTCACAAGTGGGCCCAAGAGGACATTAAGATATGTCCTCTGGAATCCAAAAGTATACCGCCGATCTTGGCATCTAAAAGCATGACACAAAAGTTGGTTATTTTCAATCACTTAAAAAATTTTCCACACGCTAACAAAACTACTCAAATAATTTCCCCATAATAATGGGAAATGCATTTTTCTTGCCACTCTTGAAAAAGAAAGTTTTTCTAAGCCATATCCTAGAGTCAAGGCTTAGCCAAAGCATTCTTTGTAGTAAAAACACTAATCTTATACGTTTCCACACCTGATGGCTCAATCCCTAATTTCCTGCAGAGAAGTTATACTCCCTGCATTAGGACACCCCACTTCACCTCTTTCACAAGAGCAAGAATTCTAATTGTTATCTTAAATCGACTACTCCAATTTAAAATTAATAAATTCTGCCATATTTCCACTAGACAGACGTTTCTTCAGCTACACCAGGTTTCAAAAGTGGCCACTCACACGTGGTTCCCAGGTGTTGCCAACTTTCACCAGAAAAGGAAAGCTTTAGATTTTCAAGGGAAGCAAAGGTTTCCGCAAGCTCTTAAAAGTAGCATAAAGGGTTCAGAAAGACAGAAATGGCAGAAGGGTAAAAGCCAGCAATTATCTGTCTAGGCAAAAAATAACTGCTCACCGGGGAGAAGGAACAAGACTGTCCTAAACCAAAATATTGGGAAAAGTAATGGGATCACAAACTTCCTTTGTAGATCCTTCTACAGGTACCTTCAAACCAGACATAGGCTACTTTAACTAACCGTCATCAGCACAATTTTCATCTATATTGTCCTGCAGAGGGTGAGGCTAGCTTCTTTTAACTGTGGAGCCCATTTGGGATCCTTGGGTGTTAGCTAACATACAAGCACTAAACATCACTATGAAGTTATGAAGCATTCATTTGAGCCCTCTTTAACCAAACAGCTCACAAGAGTATTATCAAAGCCTGTGTTCCAAGCAAAGGCCTGGGAACCAGCCCAGACATATTCCTGGGCTCACTTTATCATTACACATGGTAGTGCCTTAATTTCCCTACTTGTGAAACAAGGACAGTCCTGAGAAAATTGAGAACGGTTTATAAAATACTTGGAAAAATAAAACGAGCAAGCCATCAATATTATTTTATGACACCACAAAGGCCAGCAAGGGGGCCTTTATACCTAAAACTCATCCTTATTAAAGGTACCAAGTCATCTGAGAAATGTCAACACAAACGACCCAAAGCTGAGCGATTCAATTACAAATCAACATACCCTTACTTACTAGAAAGGTAATTAGGATGGGTAGGGATTCATTTTCAATTCCAAGTTGCCCAGCCAGTCAAACAACGCATGAGTCTCATAGATTATGTGCATGTTTTTGAGTTAAATCTTAAGTTGCAATATATGTTCAGGGCAGTCTTACCTTAGTCAACTCATCAAAAATCTTTTAGTCTCTCCTCTTAATTTCCAAACCTTTATTTCTGGAACACTGCTGAAATTCTTAAGATTTTAGGATTTCTCTAGCTGCTGTCTTGTCTTGGAACTGTGTTAGGGATCTAAAACCAAGGAAGCTTGTGAGTGCATCTCAAAGAACTAAAGGCAGAGGACAACGTATACATACATGGAGGTGAGGAATCCCAGAACAGAAACAATGCAAAGAATTTTGCATTTTACACTGATTACAATAAAAATGTGCACTCCCAATCAAAACTGGCACTTTAGTTTGCTTGCATTTTATCTGTGACTTCCTACATACACATCTGTACAAAGTCCCATATAATCAAATATACGTGTACGTGTGTGTGTGTCCCGATTTGAGAAGCCCGATAACATGTTAGGGGAGACTTCTCCTCCCAGTAAAGCAAAATGTGGATTCTCATTTAAGCTGACCCCTAACCTGGCAGATATCACAGGTAGGTCATGACCAAAACACAGGTATAAAGAGTACTAGGATACTGAGAGATTGAGGGATCACATCATCCTCCCTATCACATTCTAATTAACAGTTTCAGACAAACAATTAAAAAACCATTAAGTCACAATGGAACCATGGTCACTCATGCTAGACAAAACATGGATGGCTTCTCTCATAAAGTCTCGACAATCAAGGTGAGAAGTGCCAATGTGTAAACAAGAAACAGCTTTTATATTCAAAATACCAATTTACTTAATTAGTGTGGGGCTTTGGTTCATAACACTTTCAAACGCCAAGTTTCTAAACTAACAACACAAAATGTATAGCTGACAGTGATGCACATCAGCAAAATACAGCACATGCTCCAGATTTACTACCACAATCTCTCACAAAACTAAAGGAGAAAAACCAAGTTTAACTAATATTAATAACAGGCTAAGCTCTGTGAATCTAACTATAATTAAATTATTTACATAGGGGAGCAATAATTTTCTTACTCCTTGTCTCTTTAGGCAAGTAAATGAAAGTTAAATTCTCATGGAAAGTACTTTTACCTTCTGGAAGACAGAATTTATGACATTCTTTTAAAGTGAAAGTCTTTTGGAAGTCCAGGTTGAACAAGTGGCTTATTACGCAACAGTGTCGGGCGTCTTGGTATAAACTACAAATTTGCTTCTAATATCTTATAAAATAAAAACTTCAATTTTTTTTGTACTTTCACACCATTTTAAAAAGTTTATTTCGCTAAGATTTAAACAGGTTATTTTTAAAAATCTACAATGTTTAATTCTGATGTTTCTCTCTGCACTTACATTTCCAATTCTAAAAAAGCAGACTGTATTTTGTGTATACACAGACACTGTGTAATGGATTTAATCTGCCAAGGTCTATTACAACTTATGCAATTCTCTTATTTATATATTTCTCAAAAGATAAATACACTTAGATTCTATTTTTTTTTAATAACAACAGCTATCTTCCTTTTACACTCTAATATTCAATTAAATGTGCAGCTAGCATGTGTACATCTTAAATATATCAACAGATTGGTGAGCATATAAATTTTGAAAAATATTAAAGTAATTTTTAGTAGTTTGGAAATTTCAAGTTACAAGGAAAGCAACAATTTAACTCATACTGTACCTTATATAATTATGCTTTTAGTGATCAAAAGTAGTATGCATGTATGTTATAATGAAATACCAAAAAGTCATTTTACTTGATCAAACCCTATTATTGGTTATTTCGTAGCAAGTACATGTTCATGGAAAGGCCTGATCTGATCAGAGAATCTTTAAAGTTTTCAGAGGCCTAGCAACTCCTGAGAGTGGGTCATCAAAATAAGAGTAATTAAGAACTTACTTGACACTTACTCTGTTCAACATGGTGACGTTTTAATATAAATAATATTACAACTTTTCATGTACTCTGGTTTAAGGAAAAAATAAAATTTAAGCAAAACAAATTCACAGGGTATGTTTCAATCCAATGACTTCCAGATAGGTAGGGCAGGGAAGGGTCTTTAGATTGTCACAGCCCAATCACCCGAGTCTACCACAGAGAGACTATAAAAATCCAAATGAAAGATTTAGTTTGTTCAATGTATAGCAGCCGCCTCTAGTAAGGTAGTCTTATGAAATTTTCACCAAGAGCCAAGATGAAAGAATTTCCACTTAAAGTTCAATTAAACAGGATACCCATACCCCACCCTCTAGTTAACTGAGGCTTTTTACTATACTTTTATGAAGACCCTCACAATTTACCTAAATCTCAGCCTTCAAGCCCAATTGTTTCACCTTCGTTTTTTGAGTGTCAAAACCAGGAAACCTTTGAAACTGCAGATTACATGTTTTTCTAAGAGCTCACAGCAACTTTTCCTGTAAGGGGAAAATGGCTATTACCACTAAGGACATCGGTTAACATTGTATTGTATGTATAATCTGCTAAATCAAACAAAAGAATCTTCAAAAACTTCATCACAAAATACCCTCAAATAAGAAATTGTCTTCAAATTACTGATTTAAAAAAATCGGTGTAACTGTACATCAAAGATCAAATACAGGTCAAAATTATATTTGTTTAACAAATATTGAAAGGCATTTAGAGATTATATGGAATATCATTTACGTTAAATATCTGAGTCTTATAATTACTAAATAATTGTAAATGTAATACAGTTACGTCTCTAATGAAATACCTAAACCAAATTGCCTCCTTTTCACTCACCAAAATGTTACTTGGTAGCAAATGTCCAATGAAGAGTCTCTCATAAGCACCAACTGGTTAACTATGTATCAAAGAATACACCCATTCATTTTCCCATAAGTTTACCTTGGTGTATCTACATAAAATACTTGCCACAAAGTCTTAAAAGTACCCTTCAGTATCAACAACCACTGTCAATCTTTGGTAGCAAGTACAGGTTTATGGAAAAGCCTGTTCTGATCAGAGAATCTTTGTTTTTAGAAGCTTCACAACTCTTGAGATTGGGTCATCAGAATAACAATTGAGAACATAGTTTACATACAAGAGTAGATTACAAATGATTAAAACAATATTAGCAACTTAAAATTTTCTCTTAAACAAGCAGTAAGTCATTTCTCTGTTCAGAACCCATTACTGCATCAGCTCTAACCGGTTCCTTAAGGAATGTGGCTAGGCTGAAATTTTGGAAGTGTTGGCTTTGGTGGTGACCAAGGAGAAAGAAATCTCTGGCTTCCCTGTTGCTGCAGTTCCCACCCTCCAAAATGAATATACCCACCGGTGTGAATTGACAATGTGGTCCAAAGAGCAAAGCAGGAACGGAGTCCAGATCCTCAAAATGGTAGTACAGGGCATAACCACTAGGCCACCTATCAGTTCAGTACAAAAAGTACAACCCTGTGCATCATGGTGCAAAAGCTGGGGCCTAGGTTTCGCATTGTGCATCTCACACCTATGGAAATAACAAGAGGAGTAAAATCTATAGAAATCAACACACCCTAAGAAGGTGGGTGCTCACAGAAGACTGGTGTCAACACTTTTGCAAAGGTGGTTGGCTACTGAGATAACAAATAACAATTACAAGTCCAAAGTTAGAAAAAAACAAAATTTTACAATCAACTGTTGAGTTTGACAATGAAGAACTCAACATGGGCTTGATGTTTACCAACAAGACTTTGCAAATCATGACACCCATCTACATGCTTACGAAAATTACTACCCCACTGACATCTAACATTCCTCAAGAATGATTAACTCTCAAAGAGTTGGAAAGATTTGGGCCATGAAGGGATGTAATCAGCAATACCCCAAACCAGTTACTCTCGGGTTTCGCACTTTTCTCTTTACCGTTATGACCTTGGAAAGATATGATGACACAAAGTTTAAGGTGGAAGAATTCCAGAATTCCAGAGAAGGGGAAATTTGTGTACCAAGGATGTGCCAAGGTGATCTGTCAAGAACAAATGTGGATTGTTTGAGGGTCAACAGTTTTGAAAAAGTAAAGAGAACTTCTAATATGTAGGGCGAATTCTTTTTAAGATATAAAATCACTGCTCTTGACTCATTTAATCCTTCGCCATGTTGCTGTCAGCTCACCAACTAAGAAGAGTGCAGAGTGTGTGTCTTGCTGGGCCCATTTTCCCATGGTCTGTAGAAGGCGCTGTGAAGCACATCCTGTTCTAGCTCTGGGGCCCTTCCCCCCTCTGCAGCCTTACCCAGTGCAGGGAATGCGCCCCCTACTGACTCCAACACTCATCGCCTTTAGCCGACTTGGCTGCGGTGCATTTTGGGTGGGGGCTGGTATTTTCTTCATGGCCATAAACCAGAAGCAACAATGCAGATTTATAAAGAAACTCTATCAAGCTGCCCAGATTTTTAATTTTTTTACATGTCGAAGGTTCAAGACACTGGCACAAAAAGCATCAGGAATAGAAATAGGGTGTGTGAGAATGGACAGCATTAAAATGGCAAACACAGGAAACAGTTTGGTTCTTTTTCCTTCCTAAGCCTTTGTCTGAGAAATGGTGTTATGGCAAGAACTGTCCAGAAGAAATGGTGAATGCAAGAATATCAAGAAGACTTAGTGTGGGTATGTGTGTAGCTAAATAGGATATTAGATATTAGCGCCTGGTCTTGGGCAGAAGAGGAAGAGAAGCAATCGCGCCTTTTCCAGCAGACAGGCATCCAGGTTGGGGAAGGCAGGCACAGGCAGCCCAGGAAAGAAGAGGTGAATAAAAGGGTGCTCAAAGAACTACTCCCCATTCATTGCATTAAAAAAAAAATCTTTCCGCAGCTTTCTAGATTTCCATTTTCTATCATCTTATTGCAAAGTTGGGGCTCACAATGCTTCCAAGAGACCGTGCTGACCAGGCAGCTGCGATAGACTACAGGGGTGGTGGTGGACTCCGTGCTCAGGATAGGAGGGGAGCTGGCATGTTGGAGAGGAAGGACTGCACAGGAGAGGCAAAGACTTTCACTCCGTGCCATGCATGCTCCCCGCCCCCCAATCCATCCCCCCTCCCCCAGCTAAGGGTGGGTAGACCTGGCAGGAGGCTCGTCCCAGGCACTGGGGGTGTGCGTGGGGGGCTCGATAAGGGGGGGGCGGGAGAAAGGGATGAGTTCCAGGGATGGGAGCA